CCACTCTCTTCCTCCCCCTTCATTTGCTCCTGTGTGCTCTGATCAGACATGTCCCTCTCCCAGAGCTGCAGCTTCAGTGCTGTTCTCTGAAATAAATTCTTCTGGGGGGAATCCCCACTTTTTCAACAAATACAAAATTTAAGAAAACATCAAAACTCACTGCCATTGAGTTGATTCTGACTCAGTGAGCCTGTAGGTCAGAGTAGAACTGGCTCTTGAGTTTCGGAGGCTGTAAATCTTTCCGAGAGCAGAAAGCTTCATCTTTCTCCCTTGCAGTGGCTGGTAGATTTGAAATGCTAACTTTGGAACTGGGCTCAGAGAAGCAAAGCAGCACTGAGGCCATTCCAGCTGAAGGGCCGCGTATCCCAAGGCCAGAGGCTGTGGAGGCTTGTGAACTCGGGGACTCACAAGCGCACCTCAGCTGGGCAGAGTGGATACAAAGGGGACTGGCAGGAACTGAGGCTGGCCACGAAGGCAGGGTCACAGGAGAAAAATCAGCCTGGCCCTATGAACCGGGACTTGAGTCTGAGAAGTCATTGGAGATTTTCAAGCAGCGATCCCATCTGACTTTTTCCCTGCCTAATTTAATTTTTCTAAGATAATTTTGAACATACGCAAAAGTGGACCCACGTCCCGTCACCCAGCTCTGACAGCCATCAGTCCATGGCCAGTCCTGATCCACTCATACAGCCAGCCACTTTTCCCACCCCGCAGAATTTCCACGGAGGTCTGTGTTCCCAGTTTCCCGTTACTTCCATCAACACGCTTAAAAGATATAGGTAATTCTTTAATACCATCAAATATCTATCCAGCCAGCCAGTTTTCAAATCATCAAATCCCTCCAAAATGCCATCCATGCATTTTGTTTGCTTTGGACTTTACACTAAGGTGACCAGATTTAAAGCGGGACACCATTGACCACGCAGGGGGTGGGGGTGGGTGGGGGTGTCTTGATTAAAAATTTGGTCCATATGGACCAAATAGACCATTCCCTAGCTTGCCATGCATTCTTTCAAAAAAACCGCCAAAAATCAGGACTGTCCCACCGAAAGTGGGATGTCTGGTTACCTTACTTTACACAGATCCCCCTGGTGACAATATGAGAGAAGAACTCGGGAGACAGGGTAATCCAAGTAGGTAACTGTGTGGTTCAAGAGAGATCGGAGAGTCTGAACTTGAGCTGCCTCAGTAGATGGGCAGCTGGCGAAAGAAGGAGGGACAGACAGCAGGACTGCAAAGTTAAAAAGTCACACAATGGATTGTTTCTACTATCCATTCATGAATGAAAAAATCCACAGGATACATGTCACTAGGGAGTGGAGATACAGATCCCAAAGAGGAAGGCAGGGGTGGGGTCACAACAATGACTACCGTTTTAGAGAAAATTCAAGTACCGAGTACATAACAAACACACCCATCTGTTTACATAGTCATTGTTCCAGGTACTATAGAGATACCAGAAAACAGTATAAAATCCTTGTCCTTGTGATGCTTAAAACTAAAATAGCCATCAGTTAATTCAACTCCTTATCCTGCTTGAGTTTTCAGTGACAAGTGATTGCAAACTGAACTCCCTGCCATCGAGTGGATCTGAACTCAGAGTGACCCTCAAGGACAGAGGAGAAGTGCCCCCTTGGGTGTCCGAGTCTGCCCCTTTAGGTTTACGGGAATAGAAAACCTCACCCTTTCCCTAGCGTCCAATCCACCGTGTCACCAGGGGTCTGTGGGAAGCGGTAACTCCAACAGGTTAAGGGGTTGAGCTGACTGAGTGCTATGTTAGACCAGGTCATCAGGAGAGGTCTTTCTGAAGCGGTGCCATTTGGACAAAGTCCTGACTGAAGAAAGAACCAGCAAGCAATAGAGGCGGAAGAATACCCCGGTCTGGGAGAACAGTGAAAATGAAAACCCTGAGTGGAGGCTCTTTCTGACCTGTTCACGGAGACAGGCAGGTCGGGCTGACTTAGCTAAGAGATGAGGGAGTAGAAAGGTGGCCCAGTTCATGTGACACAGGGCTGAGAAAGGTAGGGTGGGACCTGGTTCTTACAGCCTGTGACAGGATATCACAGAATGGTTCCGAACAGGGAAGTGGGGTCATCTGATTTGGAGTTTAAAAAGGTAACTGCAGGCCCTTTGTGAGCAGTTGGACTGGAGAGAGGGGCTATGAGTCAGAATTGGCTGGATGGGAGTTGAGTTGGTTTCTTGATTTGGGGGGATAGAGAAGGAAGCAGGAAGTCCAGTTGGAAGGCAACTGCAGAGAGAGATAATAATGGGAGCAACCAATGGTACGGGGAGAAATGTAGATGTTAAAGACTGCTGAAAGTCACCATGGCCAAATGGACCCACTGCCCTACGATGACTCTCTCATCCATTCTCCACAAGGATTATCTGAAATTTGCCCACTTGCTAAGACTTCCGAACTCCCCATCTCTCATGACAGGGCTTCATAGAAGCCATCACAGGGAATACCCTCATTTCCAAGAAATCACGCATACAGACTCACGACTAGCTGTAGCCATCCTCTCTCAGCTTCAGAGGTACAGTCCCTTCTGCAAACCAACGCTCCTTTCTCTACATGGGCGCCAGCACCTTCCTCACTCTTAAAAGGCTCCTTTGGGCAATCTCATCAGCTCACATTTTAATTTCCACCTGTACTACACATTCAGTTTAAAATTCTCAGAGCTCAGAACCTCTCTATCCATTGTCTACTTGACCTGGAATCAATCCCCCACCTCCAGGGCCCTAGCTCAGCAACTGGGATCATTCTGCTTCCTGTCAAAAACCTTGACACTTCCCTCTCCCCACCTCTTCCACCCAGCCCAACACCAAGTCTGGCCAGTAAACTCCAACAGTTCTCCCAAACCTAACTGGGTTACCCTAATCCACTGGAATCCTCCTCCAGGGAGGATTAATCAGCTTAACAATGCAGGTCTGTCCGTGACTCATCTGCATGAAATTTCTGAATGGCACCCTTTCTGTTTGGTGTAAAGCAGGGGTCCTCAAACTGAGGTCCGCTGAGGACATTTAACGCCCCGCCGTTGTGCCGCCGCCTGTCCTGCTTAGCAGCCGACTCATCCAGTATGCATAGGAATTTGTTCATAGTTTTTATTTTAAACTATAGCCCGGCCCTCCAAAGGTCTGAGAGGCAGTGAACTGGCCCCGTTTAAAAAGTTTGAGGACCCCTGGTGTAAAGACTCAGCTCAGCATGGCTGCTTTCTCTGGCTCTGTCTTTACCTCACCACTCTCTCTTCAGAACTCAGCTCAAACTCCTTAGACCAACACACCTCCTCACCTCATAGTTAGGTCCCGAAGACCATATAATTTTGTGAAAATGGGCATTTTACAAAAATGGAGGAGGACACCATTACAAACTGCCAAACCATTGAGAATCATGGCCTGGCCTAGTTGGCACCCCACCTCAACCATTATAGCCAGAGTGTATCTTAGTGAGCGGAGACTTCCTTGGTGCTCATTACCCTCAGATGAAACTTGTTAATGTACAAAATAGATAGATTTTTTACGAACGTCAAATTCTAAATGTCGGATCGTGAAATATTTCACATGTGAGAACTTGGTGTACCAACTACTCAACCTTGGTACTCACCGTGCTTCCTCTGACCCCACAACGTTTGCACCCAATATTCCTTCCCTCTACAGGGAAGGTTGGAGTGTCAGTGGCCTAAGGGATGGTCACACTGAGAACCGCAAGGTCAGCGGTTTGCAACCAGCTGCTCCAAGGGCTTCCTACTCCTGCAATAACTCGCCGAAATTCATTCACACGGGCAGTTCTACCCTGTCCCATAGGGTCGCTATTTGTTGGCGTCCATTCAATGGCAGTGAGTTTGATTTTTTGTTTTCAGTTCTGCATAGGAGGTCTGATGGCATCACACCTATGCTTTGGGCTGCGAATTGCCAGGTCAGCAGTTCAAAACCACCAGCCTCTCTGAGGGAGAACAGGATTTATAGTGGCATAAAGAGTGACAGTCTCGGGAATTCACAAGAGGGTCACTAAGCATCCACTTGATGGCAATGAGTTTGTTAGCTGTTTTGCTTTTCTGCATAGGCTTCCAACTTGTTTTCATAAAGGCATCACATCTCACATCAAGCTTGAGGGAGTCAGAAAACCCTTTCCTGGCCTAGCAAACTCATGATACTCAAAGTACATCAGGGCGATCATTCTACATGTTCATTCGAGCATGCCTGCAATGCCGCCCCTCCTTCTCCATTGGTCCGTAAGTTCGCGGCCAGGGAAGGGCCCCACCACAGCACATAGAAGGTGCTCAACAACCATGTGGGATAAATGAAGACGAATAATAACGTCCACTCTATCAAAAGCACGGCCTGGGGGTGGACAGAGACAGGAGGCACGTCGGGAGTCGGGGGAGAAGGGGGCAAGAGGGAGGGCACGCTGCCCTCAATGAGATCCCCCTCCACTCCGGGGTCCCCACGCTCGTTAAACGGAGGTGGACGGGGGGCAATTTTCCCCAATCAGGAAATCAGCGGGCACAGACTTTCAAGAACGTGCGAAAGTCCGCTGTGAGGGCGGGTGGAGGCCGCGAAAGCGCCAGAAAGTAGGCCCAGGGGGCCGTGCTCCAGGGTTAATCAGCCCGAGCCCCCCGCCCCCGCCGCGGGG